AGATGGTAAATTAAACTAGTAGCGCCACCTCTCGGCTGCCTATATTCCTCTTATAATTTCTATTTTATAGCAACTCATCATATTTATCGATTAGTTTTTATACACTTTTATCGTCTATTGGAGAAATATTAAATAGTTTTCTCTAATTCAGATCAACTCGCTTAGAAACATCGAGATTTCAATATCAATATTGCTGACCTCGGGGTCATTCGTCATTTAATTATGACGTCACAGACTCGATCGAGATTGACAGGCTCCGTTCACTTTTCAGCCTTTAATCCCTGCACCATTCATCAAACGAAATTATATTCTGTAAAAGATTAAACAAAGCGAGAAATATAATCTAATTTTCTAACATTATTTTAGCCTTTTAGCCTCGTTTAAAGATTGTTTCTTCTAATGAATATTTATAAGTTATTGTAGTGTAAAGAAAGGGGGTGTGATGTTCGAGGCTATAATTATATTACTCGATAATCAAGACTGAAATGTAATTAATAAGAACAGTAATTTGTTTCGAAGTCAGACAGATCAACTTTTATCATTTTAAATCTGTTTCGACTGAAATTAGTGGAAAAATAAAACACTTCAGAAGTTTTCTCCTGAAGTGGTTTTCTTAATTTAGCCGCCATGTTTAATCTTACGCAGCCATATTGGAATGGAAAAAGCTTCGATTTCTTTCCACTACGATGGTGTCGTCACAAATTATGATGACGTCGTTACACTTATGAAATTGACGTCTTTAACGATAATACGATGACGTCACTGTACACTTGATTTGAATAACGATGACTGCGTATTGTACTTGATTTAATCACCCTTTGCGATCACGTCGTCAAATATAAATATTGTATACTTTTTCGATGACATTCCCACTAATGTGCTGTGTTCCAGTAATTTGTTATAATTTTCCATACAAGTAAGGTGAAACACATTTTAAACATTTAATTCTTTTAAGACCGGAAAGTAATTATTGTCCTAACAATTTCTTGTCCATAGTGATTTTCCACAATACAGAATATACATATATATATACATAACTTATATATAAACTTATTCCTTTTGGAAACTAAGAGTTGACAGTGCAAACAACGCCAGTGTGTGACATAAATCTAATTATAAGAATTTAAATATTAGAGAGATATCGAATTGTTTTCATTAAAAATACAAACATCGAGACAGATGGCTCAAGTTGCTGAAAACGTCAGACTGAAAGTCCCTCGGGAATTCTAGGCAGCCATTTAACAGTTCAACTGTGACAGAAATTGGCCTAATGATTACAAATGAGAAAGAAAATCCCGAGGGGAGTCGAGAGACAATATTGGAAAGCGGAACTGAAAATACTGCTGATGAAAGTAGTCTGTTGTTGCATTGCTCAGTAACTAGAACTCATCCCATGCCACCCACATGTGTTTCGGATTCTAGATCCTCATCAGCACGGTCAGTTTGTTGCGGGTTATTTTTAATGATAGGACTAAAGATCTATCAACAAAGGAAGTTGACGACTTTTGAGCATAAGTTCATACTTATGAAAACAAAACGTACAAATGGTCCCGTTCCGTTGGTCGCAGGTTCTTATAATCGGTTAATTTATTTCATATATTTCATCTGTCAACCTTAACCCACAGGAAGTTACTCAAGAGATTGTAAAGAAAATTTCGAATGGAAATTGGAATGTGGTAAATCGATATTATCAATGTTACCCATACTCATTCAAGGTTCAGAAAACCTCTTTACAATCCATCTATATGATTTCCATCCTACAAGACCAAAAGGAAAACAAAAATGAAAATGAAAATTGTCGACAACGGACGTTTGATTCCCAGACTATAGCTGTCAATACAGATTATCTAGTTAGCGAATTAATCCACGCCATATTCTAGCTCTACTTTCCTTCATGATGAACAGTGGGCCTGTGGTTACTGTGTGGTCACTCAGGATTAGGATGGTTTTCACTGAGCCCCATCACAGTTGACATTAAAACCAGTTATTGTGTATGGTTGTCGAAATCCGAATATTCAAGATAAAGAGAAACTTCCTGGGCTGTTAATGACACACAGACTGCTGCTTCCTCAAAGTTTCTGACTAAAACACAAAACATACCTTCAGATTTGTCAATATTAAAGATTTTGCACCATGTGATACTTCCGGAGCGGATGTTGATACCGATTAACCTGAACATATTCGCGGTTTTGGCTTCTAGCTTCAGTAAAAAAAGAAATGGAATAAAATGGTGGTAGGTATTTCCGGTTGTCTTCTTGTTACTATAAATAGGTGAAGATTTCTGGAACTATCTGGCACTGTACTCTTCACTAAGTCGAAAGAGTATTAAAGTGAACGAGCCAGGAAAACAAAACAATACGTCTCTTTATATTACCAGAGTGCGAGATTCGCTGGGGGAATTCAAGCCTCCAGACCTCGAGTGCCCTCAACCAAACATTTCCTAATAATCTCCCTTCATTATCTCAATAATGGACCTAATATTCCCCGACATCTCACACAAGTCAGAGTTAAATTATCTTTATCGTTCTACAGCATCTTTACAAATGAATCGAAATGAAGCTTTGCGTCCTACCATATTAAACTAACACAATATCTAGAATTTCTCGTGGACATCGGCTTTGTTTTGTTTCATTTTTTTAAGCGGAGAGGGGGTTGAGGTATCTTTAGATTTCGCAAGCCTTGCAAAATGTAGAAGTCACGTGTAGCGTCACAGTCCATTAAATGTCCGCAATTTCGATTGTTAAAATGATTCAAACCATTGATCTCGTCTTGTGTTTGGATTTTTGTAAAAAATTCGAAAACTTTCTGACATGTTCAAATCCTTTTGACGACAGATCATAATAACGATATTTTCTCGTAGGGAACAATGTTCATCCATTTTAAACAACCTTTATTGTATTTGCGTACTAAGGGAAATAACTCCGATAATTATTTCAGTAAATAAAGAAACCCGATTGTGAATTAACTGTAGTCTGAAGGAGTTTGTCACTGAAATCATTGCGGAATATAAACCAATCGGTAACTCTCGACAGTTTCTGTATTCTGAGCATTGATATCTAATCCTTTTTTGATTATGAAATTACAAGATCCGATATATATATTTACAGCCTGTATTTGTTTTTATGATTTTTGTTTGTTTTTCTTTGTTTTTGTTTGTTTTTGTTTAACAAAGACGAAGCTATGTGATTATTTCGATGATTCCTTGGATGTAGTTGCCGCTTTGCAAGCTGGGATATAGAGATATTGGCATCAAATACTTGATTGACCAGCTAATGTAACTTTACGGGGTTATTATTCGCTTACTGGCTGATATTGTACGTTGGTCTAGAATCGTCAAATAGGGATAACGTATCACTTTTTAAAAATAAAATGCGGCGTCAAGTCCGTCCATAATTTATACCTCCTCTCATCTCACAATCAACAAAGTTTTCTGTAACCAAATATACCGACTACCAGGATATCTGAATTATTTCAACTTAAATAAAAGGACCACATCCCTAAAAAATATAAAATATCACGAAATTAGAAAAAAAAAACATAAACAAAATAATAACTTTTATTGGGAAAAAACTAATAATAAATGAGATTTGTATCGTTGATTTGTTATTTGATAAAATGAAATAAAGTTAATAAAAACTGTTATTTCGTCAGGTCTAAAATGACAGTGGTTTCAGGTGTCTCGAAAAAAATACACAAAGTTTTAAATCTTTTTCAGACATTTAGACAAACTTGTCATTATTTTGGAAAATAATTAAAATCAGATCAGAATTATTTATATTTAATTGTTCATATATCATTAAAGATGTATTCCCACTTCCAAAGAAATTGTAATTTCAAAAGTAGCTTTCGGTTGTAATGTAAAGTTTATATTGTTGCTTTCGGTTTGGTATTTCAAAATCAAAGTGTACGATTTTCCTTTCATGCTCCGGATTGGCCTAATTTAACTAAGCAGATTTTCGCGTTTCTGCTTTTGACCTACAAAGCTACATGGTTATCCAAGTCTAAACTTTGGAGATATTTAAACGTGCCAACCCTGCCATTCAGTCATATTTTCCCCTCAGTCATGCATCATGGTTGGTTAAAACTCGAGGGTACTATGATCCATGTCGTCCATCAAAATTCGTTTGAAAGCCATAACACAAAAGATTGTGGAACTCCAACTTTAAGATACCAAAAACTCGTGTCACTTTGTTTTAATAATAAAAAAATAAGATGGGACCAATTCTAATATATAAAATAAATATAATTTCAAACTTGTGGTTGATTCAGAATGAAGAAACCAGCTAGAAGGTAAGAATCGTATTTATACCCTATTACATTATTCCTTTTCATCCAGCTGTAGATGGGGCCTGGCATTGAGTGTAAGCCGACGCCTCACGAAAGCATCGGAATGTTTCTCACCTTGAGGATTTTAACTCGCGGCACCTAATCGTCTAACAGGCGGATATTTAACTTGATACAAATTACTGAGCTAATGGAAAGATCTGTGCCAACAGTGTTTGTCGAGAACCAGCAGAGATATAACTGCTTTGTTATTTGTTACTGGCACATGATTGCATAATTTAGCGTCTAAATAAGAATTTTATATATTCTTTGTAGCAGGGATTTGAAATTATTTGGCCGTAGCATCGTGATGTCGACAAGAAACTCTCTGATACCCGATACATTGTATGGACTATCCACTTGTTGTCACGGTTTGTCAGAAAAGGTAACTATAAGGTTATAGTGAATGCCGATTCTTTCTGAGCACCTGCCATTCTGTATTATCTGGCATAAACTGTGATAACTTATTTAGTTTATTCATTTCTTAAGTCCATAAGATTCAGAACATTAGAATATAAAACTCTATTTCATTTCAATAGTTCATGCTGTCAGCAATATCAGCAACTGCTGGAAGCAGACGTTGACTTGTCATCTACCAACCAACCAATAGTTCTTTCAGGAACAACAGCTAAACCTGTCATTCCGTTGCTCTATATAATTCCGTTTTAACTTTTTTTCAGAAGCGGCAGAGGACAAGTTTTATGCCGTCTCAGGTCATGATATTAGAGGAAACGTTTCTCCATACCCAGTATCCGGATATCTTTCTCCGAGAAGAACTGTCTCAGAAAATATCACTTTGTGAGGCTCGAATACAGGTAAATTATTTCCAACATATAGGTTATTAGATAACTATTTCATCACTGTTTTGCTAAAGCAAAAGAAATTTTAGCCTTTCTTTTTGTCTACCTTCCCAGCTTCTCAGCTTTCTATGACTTTCAAAGATAATCACCACTTTGGTAGGCTAGAGATTCAGTCGAGCGAGAGCAGCACAGCGGAACTTGCCAGAGTATAATATACGTATCATTTCCTCTATTTTGGACGACCTTCAAATTTCTCTAGGTCTGATTTACTTTCAGGTTTGGTTTCAGAACCGCCGGGCAAGATGGCGACGAGACATTAGAAAGAAGTATGGACCATTTCCATGGCCACGGGGTCGAGTGAGTTCCACTTACAATAGTGGTAACAATGAAGCCAGTTCGTCGCAGCGTCTGAAGGAGACTCCAGCCTACTCGGATCAGTCTCTCATGGCCAGATCCCTGATGTTCGACCTCTACCTTCGACAGCAACACGAGTAAGTCTGAATAATGCGCATAAACACCCTCGTGACTGAGTTTCCGAGGGTTCACACAGGGAAAGAAACCAATTTATTTATAACATAAAAATGGCCACAAAATATCACAAATGAAAAAAATGAGTTTAAGTTTTCATTTTGTGTCGATACTGTCGCATTGCAGATCACGTAGACCCCCCTCCCCTCCCCTTTTCATATAGCCTACGGGGGACGGGAGGGGTCGCTTAGGTTGACAGAATGCAAGATGACCTGCAAACCCTGTCTACATCCGGGTTTTTTGCTGTAGTGCAAGGCTTTTTTTCTCTATTTCAGATCACTAGTTGGAAACAACCAGCGGAGACTGATCCTAAATGACCACTTTCTGTTACCTTTCAATAGCCAAAAACACGATTAGGCTTCACTTCTGTTGTCATAGGAGTAACGTCTGCTTTCTTAAGCTTAACGTCTGTTGTCTTAGACGTAACGTCTGTTGTTGTCATAGGTGTAACGTCTGTTGGCATAGGCTTAGCGTCTGATGTTTGCCTGGCTAAAGGGATTGTAAAACTTAGTTTTAATGTGTACTGGGGACACTGATAGCAGCAATTTACACCATTCTTATTTTCAATCAGGCATGTGTATTTTTTTAAATTCAACTGAAACTAGACGTTTGTGACGTCAATATCACAAAAACTTCTATAAGGCCTTTTGCGATAGTGACGCAATTAAACGCTTAGCTCAAAGGGAATTGCAAGAACGACAGACAACTGACCAAAATATGGACTGATGCAAATCGATGATATCAGTAGGCCTATCCCCGATACACTTCTTTAAAATCCCTTTAATGTCTGCTGTTTAGAAATTTGATTTTGTTTTGGGTACTCTCCACGTGATTTAGCTCTTTATACATACAACTACTATTATTACTATTATGTCATGGATTATTCTACAAATTCTTTATATTCGATATGTTGTTTGAAATGTGTAATTCATATATAAATATCAAAACCCTCACAGTGTTTTATCTTCATCGGTTGGGTGGTTTTATATCAACATATAGACACAGCTTTATGGAATATGCTATATACCAGCTCAATTTAAGTTATCTGTATAGTTATCTAAATATTTACTTTACCATCTGATACAGTTCAATTTCAGCTATCTGTATAGTCATCTAAATATTTAATTTACTAGCTGATAGAGTTCACTTTCAGCTATCTGTGCAGTCATGTAAATATTTACTTTACCAGCTGATAGAACTCAATTTCAGCTATCTGTATAGTCATCTAAATATTTACTTTACCAGCTGGTAGAACTCAATTTCAGCTATCTGTATAGTTATCTAAATATTTACTTTACCAGCTGATAGAACTCAATGTCAGCTATCTGTATAGTCATCTAAATATTTACTTTACCAGCTGGTAGAACTCAATTTCAGCTATCTGTATAGTCATCTAAATATTTACTTTACCATCTGATAGAGTTCAACTTTAGCTATCTGTGCAGTCATGTAAATATTTACTTTATGTAAATTCATATTTCTAAATAATAACTCTTTCATAATTGGGCCTTTTTCGTGAACCCAAAGATAATAGAAGACTCTCAGTATTAGTTTGGAGTACAAACATTCAAACAAAAGGGATTGTGATCCAGTAGACTAGAGCAAACCCACTGCCTCTAATTATTTGAAAGTTGTCAGCTGGTATAGGGACAGAAAAACTAGGCTGTCTTGTGGAATTTTCAGAACCCATCAAACCATTAATGCCTCTTTGAGACAGGTTTTTTAATTTCACAGAGTCGATATGGCAAATGCATTGATGTTATTTTCAAAATAGAAATAATAAAGTAACTAATATTTTATTAAAACAACACGTACAATGGACAGGGTTACGGTGTGTCACTAACTTCAGTTTTTTCAGTCTCTTTTTCAGCGGAGACTTCGAGTCTCTTGGCTCGCTTCTCTTCCTTAATTTTCATCTTCTTGACATTTTTACGAGCCTTATTCTCAGCCTTGAATTCTCGATAAGCTTTCAACTTTTGAGACCTGTGTTGTTTGACAACAGACTTGACTTTAGAATCAGAAGGAGCCAAGTTGTACCCATAAACCTCCCTAGCTTCACATTTGAGCTCAAAGTGTCTTCTCTTGGTTTGACGCCGTATTGCCCGATGTTTTCTGATTTTTGATTTATAATCACTGATCAACTTTAGCATTTTACTCATATTTTCATCTATTTCTTGTTCTCTGAAAAATAAAATGAATGAATGAATGAATGAATGAATGAATGAATACATGATTGAATGAATGAATGAATGAATGATCTGTGTTGGGTTATATTATCCATATATTCTACTGAAACAAACTAGATAGATGATTTGCAGCATAGTAATTATCTGTATACTAAATGCAGGCGTAGGCATATTCATTGTTTGTTTAAATGTCAATTCGCACTTGTTGAGAAAAAATACTTCTGATGGCAAGCCACTGGTAATGACTGCATAGACTGAGACATGGCCAACTCAAATATGCATTATGTTCTAGCTTATAATAGTTCTCCACAGCCGGAAATAATAGAGAGTAGGCTTATGCCATTGTCATGAAGAAATTCCATCATTGCACACTGCATCTCATGACAACCAATCAAATCGTCTACAAAAGTCATACAATCAGGTAACATTCAAGAATTTTAGGCACAGACTTTTTGATTGGATAGATAAACATCATTTACAAAAACAATCAAAAATGCCCGAATCAGTTTCAGAAAAGGGCTTAAACTCCATTTACATTCTACTACAATACAAACCAATGTTTAAATACATTAGGCCTTCATCCATTTTTAAAAAGTGTTTATGTAAAAGCATGGATACTCACTTCTTTAATCTCTTATAAGCATCTTTTGCTTGTTTCTTGAAAGCCTTCCTTACGGCTTCTTCTAAAGGTCGCTCTAAAATGGCATCATCTTTCATTCTTTCTTCTATCTCTGATTTCGTAGGCCATAATAATTTTGGGTTTATTCCAGAGGCTTCTCCATATTTAGCATACATTTTTCTTTTTAGATGTAAATTATCAAAACTTTTCATCGTCATGTCAGGTATTTTTTGATGCAAAATACCATGTAAATGCGGATTCAAACGTGAAACATTTCTCATTTTGTCGATTTCTTCCTCTGTATATTTTATTTTCACCTCATTTTCATCTAATTCCAGCAAAATATCTCGGACATTTTTAGGTTCATCCGTTGCATAATTCTGCAAACTGAGATACTGCGTGGTTCTTTGTAAAGATCGAACCTTAAAAATTTGTGAAATTGCAGAATAAGTGAGATTGCAGCAACCTTTCTTCAAAAAGGCTGCCATCTTGGAAAGACTGGGCTGAACTTAGCATACACATTCAACTACCATAAAGATTCGGGTCGAATCGGGTCGAATCGTCTCAGCATACACATTCGCGGCAAATCGACCCGATATGAAATCTGAATTATTTCTACCTTTAAATATTGTTAAAATAACTTTAAAATTTTCGTGACAAATACACATAAGAATTCTTTCAATTTCGCAAACACCTATATGTTTAACTCTCTTAGTCTTTGCACTGTGGTCCATTTAAGATATAATTTTTTTTCAAGGAAGCTGAAAATTACCTAAGTTAAACAGCAATTTAAAAGGCTTAGCCGTCATAGGAACTTTTTGAAATTCATACCATACTATCTCACACTAGTCCTCATTCGAAATATCAAATCACTAAGTTGCTGTCTCCCTTACTTTTTGTACGGACTAGAGGCCCATTCTAATCGATTTATTATATGGCCTATGTAGAATAGTACTCAGAGTTTACGGGCAATTTGCGAGTCTTAGCCGTCATAGGAACTTATTGCAAGTCAAATCAAGCTATCTCACACTAGTCCTCATTCGAAATATCAAATCACCAAGTTGCTGTCTCCCTTACTTTTTGTACGGAGGCCCATTAAAGACATATACACCATACGACATATAAATGACCTATATCAGAATATTACTCAGAGTTTACGGGCAATTTGCGAGGCTTAGCCGTCATAGCAACCTTTTGAAATTTATACTAGGGACTATGTCCGAATTGGGTCTGAAAGACATAAAACGAGACTCAATTCTGTCAAAGGCCGTGCACAAATTTGGGAATGACGACGAATGAATAATTCGAAACAATTTTGTATTTCGTGTAGCCGGGTCATTTTACTAATTTTGACAATCAAATGATATGATTTAATTATTAAGTAGTTTATTATCACCATCAACAAGGGGAAATTGATTGACAAAGGGAAATCTATACATTCTGAAAACGGGGGTAACCCAGGATTTGGAAAAGGGGCACAGAGCCCTCAATTGAAGTCTGGGCCTAAAATGTCGGTATTTTTCTTTGAAAAGATAATTTAATACAGTAATACTCAAATCATTAGTTTCCATATTGTTCCAATTTCGCTAACGTTGCAACCAGTGTCTAAACTACCACAGAGACTTCCCTTAGCATATAGTTAAGCCAACTGACTATGACTGTATGAAAATCTAACGGCCTAACACTGAGCCTGTAGTAAGAAGCCTCTTGTTGAATGGCAAGCTACACAATAACCAAAGCCGTGGAGTAATGGGAACTGATAGAACCTCCTGGAACTTCTGATATTGCTCTCAATTCCATGAGCTTGATGGGTTATTTGTCAGTGACCACTAATAATTAAATCATATCAATTGATTTTGCAGTGTTATTATAACTTAAAATTTGACGTCACCCTTTTCTCAATGTACCATTATCCAACATTTAGTTCACTAACATAATTTACACTAATAAACATAAATATTATAAATGCCCCTTATTTGTACTCGTCTCGATCGTAGCAACCCACCCCCCTTCCAACCCCCAAATAGGCCTTGGGCCCGTACGCCTATGTTGAAATTGGTATAGCTCTTTCAGTTTTCAAAATATTTTCGGAATTTTGTATGTAGGCAGGCCTAAATGATCTAACAATGAGGATCTCGTTTCACCAACCGGCCACATTTGATCCACTATCTTTAAATTTACTGTGGTTTAATCTGTTCTATTGCAATCATATTTGTATCTTTTGCACTTTTTCGTCCCAGAATTTATTGCCACACTTATGTAGTCACAAAGTCAAAGCTTTTCAGTAAATTTTCTAATTAGGCCTGATTTAGGCCTAAAACCTGAATAATGGTGAATTTTATTGTAACAGTAACGCTATATCCCTTTAAATTTCGGGGTAATATTTGGCGCGAATCTAGCAATCATGTTATTTGTTCTGTCAAGAATTAAAGGTCCCCTTCCGTGTAATTTACTTCACAAACATGTGAATTTGGTAATTTTTTTCCCTCGGTAACATAACGAAATACACTTTATTCGTTGATCCAAAGATTTTTGAACAGGTTTTAGACTTTACAAAGGATTTTTAAGTCCAGTACCTCTATTCAAAATTCTTTCAACCAGCCACTCTGAAATATTGGTGGACCTTTTCCTTTAATAATTTATCAACTTTCACCAAATTGACGAGAGGGTGACAGTTTAAATCCATCAGAAACTCAAAACAATTTTTTGGCGGGAAGAGTTGACACGCCGAGCACGTGGATGCAGAATTGTGGCTGCTGATTGGCTGAAATTTAAATTGTCAGTCAAAAAGTGGGAGGAGTTTAACGTAAAATCACCGTTTGCATATCCAAGGGTGCGCATTTCTGAGCGGGATTTCGGTCTTATCAGTCGTGACTTATGACTTATGATATATTCTATATTGGATTCTGGATGGTTTTGAATTATTTCGATATATTCAGTGCTAAATCTGTGACTAATATCTGTGGATTGGGATTTATTTGATACTATGTGTATTATTCTGGATGGTTTTAGATTATTTTGTGATTTTCTATAAAATAATGGATTCAACGATGACACTTTTGGAAGGAGTGACAAATATTGAAATATTGGACACTTATTCAAAAGAAGGTAAGCCATTTTCTTCATTCAAATTTTGATTGGAAACTTGTAAGTAATATAAACTGATTTTCTAGAAATAGGGACACCGATAGCATCGATTTGTATCATTCCAATTTTAAGTCAGACCTCTGTTTTATTTTTTCCGATTCCACTAAAACTAGACTTTTTTTGACGTCACTATTGCCGAATCTGCTAATAATATCTACAGTCTGTGTGAAACGCACAGTGTTACAAAAAGAAGTTAATCGGAAGCATGCATAACTTGAATAGCTCATTTCATTTAGTTCTACCAAACGTTTTGTTAAAGAGATTGTAAAGAGATTTTCTATGTGTATAAGGGAGGGACTCTGATAGCATCAATTTGCAACATTCCAATTTTCATTCAGACTGTACGACTCCTGCAATTCCACTAAACCTCTGTTTTTGATGACGTCACCATAGCGAAGACCCTTTATATTATGTATTCAGTATTATGTTACGTAAGTCCCTTTGAAATGGTGCAAATCGATGCTATTAATGTGCCCGATACACATAAAAATCACTTAACAACCTCTTTAAATTATTTAAGAAAAATGATAATCGTGAACGCCATGCAGTGTACAATGGAGGGATATTTGTCAGGCCAGGGCTTAAGTGTACTTTGGGGGGGGGGGGGGACTTTTCTCTATCAAGATTCTTACGCGCGTGACCTTGACAATTTAAACTCAATGTCACGAGAATAAATATGACAAATATAAGTTATCTCATGACTTCAAAAATAACAATCATGGAAGATGAGTATCATTATGGCCAACTTTTGTTTGTATTTATATTTTGCACTGGTATTTAAATTACAATTCAAGAATCATTTAGTTTAATGATACTCTTCAGAACCTTTACATACTTCATACGTTAAAAAGTGTTATAAAAAATGTTAAACCGCTGTGCAATTTAGCCCCATAGAGCAAAAGACTTAAGCAAATAAAAAAAAGTAATTTGTACCCTTCAAAGATGAGGGTTTAATCTGGTTTAGGGTTAGGGGGTGGATTAGAGAGGGTGGCCTATATGTGTTGTTTTATAATATAGTATTAAGGTAGGGATGAGGGTAGACAGGTTTAGAAATAGGGGGTGGGGGTATTAAGGGAAGATGTCCTATAATTGTTAGTTTATAATAAGAAATTAAGGTAGGGATGAGGGTAGACAGGTTTAGAATTATGGAGGGTGGGGTATTAAAGGGATGGTGTCCTATAATTCTTAGTTTAGTGACATTAAGGTAGGGATGAAGGTTGACAGGTTTAGAAATAGGGGGGTGGAGGTATTAAAGGGATGGTGTCCTATAATTGTTAGTTTAGAACAAGATATTAAGGTAGGGGTGAGGGTAGACAGGTTTCGAATTAGGAGGTGGGGATGGTAATTAGGTCATATCTAAGCTAGCTTTCTATTGTGAGAATTCAGATTTTTGTCTTGTGATGATAGCCCTTTAATACTTAGTAAAATTTTACTTTTTGAAACAATTCACAACACAATGTTGTTTGTATTCTAAAAATTATTATTCTTTTTACAGTGTCAGCAGTTCAGAGAAGTTATTAGTATGCAAAATTTTTAATCGCTTTTGACAAATAGATCTTGTTTTATATGTGGTGAGTTTTTTTTATAATTAACTTTCTGGTTATTCTGAAAACTACTTGATTTATTTCCCAGGTATTCCAACTGTTAGGCCTAGGTTTAAGCAAGGGGGAATCTTGTGAATATTTGTGAGGGGACTTTCTGTTACTGAAGGGATGTTATAGTTCAGAGTCTGGTGCAAGTTAAAAAAAAAACTTTTGACATGATTCAAATGCAGATGTTAATGTTAAGTTTCTTTTTTTTTGCAGGTGAATCCACTAACCCTGATTTAACAAACTTCATCTATATTTGGTGATTGTGTTTAGAATGAATGACCATCAAGAGTTGTCATAATTTATGCTACCCAATCAAAAGTACTTTTAAAAATGGTAAGACACTACATACTACCATTTAAAACAATAGATACCCTGCAATTCCTGACATACAGCAAGGAAATCTTATATGGTACACAATATTTGATACATACATTACTTACTGTGTATTA